TTTGTTGTAGAAATATGCTTCAAAACGTCTGTTAATGTTGAAAGGGGCTGTCAAAGCCTCCTGATACCCAGAGTCATTGAACGGCACCAGTAGCATTGCAGAGATTTGCTTCTAAAACGTTTTTGAGCAGGATTAACCTCTCTAACCGATCACATTTTCAATTATTTCTGTTTGATCAGTATGTTTTGTTGCATTCTCATTTACTGTAATATCATAACAACAAGTATCTGAAGAGTTGGGCAGAGCAAAAAGTGCTGACTGGATTGACTGGAGAAACATTCAGTGGCTATACTGGTGACATCACACCCAGAGCCTAGATATGTTAAACTGAACAATTACAAGACTATCTCCTTCAAAAATGGGAAAAAAATGCTGTACAAGCGACTATAATTTAGTCAGTGCCTCCAAATTTGTCAATAGCTAGGCTGTTGGTGTCACTGATTTCTGTCTCCAACCACAAGACCATAGCAGAAACAATCTTCTGATATAGCAGATGTATTATGAGTCAGATGTTTGGCGCCCAGTGAGTAAAGGGTACTAAAACAGCTTAATCAAGTGTTCTTGCTAAGGGCCATTATTGTACTTTATGTGCCAGAGTGTTCTTCTCTCCCCCCTCTGAGTTCCTGTTATCTGGAGTATTTACACTGCAGCATCACTATGTGAATGATTAATTAAAATTCTGTTATTTTTTGCCCAAAACAACACAGCTGTCTAGACAGCTCAGTTGGAAGTAATTTATAGAGGCCTCTATTTAATGCTACTGTATACTATAATATGTTCGCTCTATAAAACAAATTATTTGTGAAACTATTCACTTGTCACTGATGAAAAGTACATTTCCAACTGCCTTTCTAATTTATTTACTGATGAAACCAAACATTAGAAACTTGTCTAAGTTTTAAAACACCTTTAAAACCTTTGAGACCAGTATCAAATTCTGACCTTGTGTATTGATAGGAAGGCTGTTTTTTTTTTTTGTTTAAGACTGTGCCAATGAGAAAAATTCATCCATAGATTTCAGACAGCATAGGTATAGAGGATACAAGAGGTCACCCCAGCTGAGGTTGGTGTGTGATAATAAACTTCTCCCACCAAGAGGTACCCGTTAAAGGAAAACAATTACTACTACTACTGTGGATTGTCTTGAATTGAGCTGAATTACACCATTTCTCTAATTCTTCGGTCAGTACAGAGTTATTATCTCCCCTGTGTTACCACAGCCATTTTGAACTTCCATGAAGCCAGTATTAACAGAAAATAAACAGATGAGCTGTGTGCAAGCATATGTTAACCAATAGTGGCCCAGAGAGCTCAGTGCATGCAACTTGAGAAAACATGCAAATAAACAAAAGCACTAGTAAATTAATAAAACCTTCACTAATTTGAAAACAGATGCACAGTATTTAGAATTCAGTTTCTACTGTTAACCTTGCAATCACCGAAACAGTGGGGATGAAATGCTTGCCACCATAAGTTGCAAAATCTTTGCTCAGCTGACCGGTGCTTTTACATTCAATAAGACTCATGAATATTATTACTCAGATTAGTGATCACAAAGTCATAACATAATAGCTACCTGCACTAACATGCTTCACCCAACACATTGCAGAACAAATAAAAAAAAAAAAAAAGAAAAATATCATATAATCATGGATAGAAAAAAAGAGTTTCTCCTATGAACGGTTTTGTAGAACAGATAAACAGCATGGCCATCAGTTCATAGAGTTTATGGCTGGAGATGAGCGTGCCTGAGCGTGGCAGAAGGTAGAAGCAGTTAATGTGTAATTATAATATCCTCTGTGTGACAAAAGCCATTAAGCTTCCAATCAAGCCAGCACACCAGAAAAAAAAACCCATGTAGAAGAGCACCATCATGTTAACATCCCCAGAGCAACAATCTTACTTTCTATTGGAGGCCCAGGTGTAAACTGAGGCAACAGGAAATCCCTACAGGATGGCAGCAACTTGGAAAGAAATATGGAGCACAGTCTATCCAAGTTATTCTTCACCTCATACGACAGCATGAAACCTCATATGCATGCAATGCCAAAAGACATCCAAAAAACAAGAGCCATATGCTTTGCCAGTACAAACATGTAATGTTAGTTCACAACGTAGCATGGGTTTGCAAACCTTCATAACACTGAAAACAGCAGAGAGGTGGGCCAACCCAGAGTCTGGCCACCATTGGGTGACAGAGGTAACCATCCTTTTCTCTAACATTTATTAAACGACAATGTTGAAAAACGCAGGTCATCTTCTCTGTTTTCAGGTCACCTGAATCTGTTTTCTTAACCCCAAGTCATGGCGGAATTGGGCGCGCGTGCGCCAGCCTTCTCCTTCTTCTTCTTCTGATGTTTATTGGCGGTTTGCAAGCCAACTTAAGGTGCATTACCCAAAATGTTTTCGGAACCAGCTACAGCTATTTATGGGGTGTTTTAATTTAATTTTTTAAGTCTTGTCAGTAGACTAGTGATGCCTCAATCACTGTTAAATGAAAAATGTCAGAAGTTTAGAGAATAATTTTCAACAAAGTGTAAAAGGAAAAACTAGCAAAATGACATCAAAACCAAGATAAATAAGAAGCCAGTCTTGAAAATTGACTACAGCAATGTTTAAAATACACTTTATGAATTGAAATGCATGTAAAGAGCTAAAAATAATTCAAGCTGTTTAAAGCTGATTGATTTAGTTTGTTAATGTGGCTCAGGAGGTAGGCCTGGGTTGTCCCCTACCTGTAGGGTTGATGGTTTGATTCCCAGCTTCTCCAGTTAACATGTTGAAGCGTCCTTGAAGAAGACACTGAACCCCAAGTTGCTCCTGGTGCTATCACCTGTGTGTGAATTTTTGAATCGTGTGAAAGCACCGACTTTACAGTGTCTTATTGCTTAAATTTGACTTTGTTTCTGTGGTAATTTTCTATGATGCCTTTGGTTCATTTTCTCTCTATAGGTAAATTATATTTGTATAAATCTCAAAAACAACCAGAAACAACAAGTCTCAGCTAATGTAATGGAGTGAAGGTAGTAGAAGTAGCAGTTGCCAAGGAAAGGTGATATTTTCTCCTTTCTTTTTTTAAGCTGAATAACAAATTTCATTGCCTGTATTAACTACAGAGGGAGGCTTAGCTCATTACTGTCTGTAATCCAGTCTGCAAGCTCCCTGAATTGGCAGTGCAATGACATATCAATATTGTCCTTGGTAGAGAGAGAGGGCGGAAATGTAACAAAGTGGCGTGGAGAAAATGTTAACAAAATAACTGCAAGGGGCAAACTACAACATTTCTGCCTATGAGTGAGCACCAGTTGGGAAAACAAGGCTATAACAATGTTTCCTGCGTACTCATTTAGTTTGGCTTGTCCAAAATTGTATATAAATTGCCACCACTGCAATAGCAGTTTGATTCATTCTAAATACTTTGAATGTCAGTTAGTAAAGCTCTGTTAGTAAATGAACTGCACTCAAACTCAAACAGGAGTTCTTCAAGGTGCAATGCAAAAATTACTGATGAAACTAAACAACATATAGCATAAGTGGATTCAGGGTTATCCTCGGGTTCTCTCTGCAGAAATACACCATTCATTAAAATGTTAAAAGACAAATCATGCTAGCCAAACAACATTTTCAGATATCAAATATCAGTACCCTTCTTGCTATTTTGATTAAAAGATGCCAGATGTCATAGCTGTCAGGTCCCCCCTCCCACAACAACACGTACATAGACACTACCCTCACCTGCCAAACAGCAAAATCCCATCCACTACTGATAGATATAAGTTTTACAAATTTTGTTATTTAATGTATTTTAGAGCAAAATCATTTAATTAAGCACCAAGAGATATCCCAGGTCAAACAGCACAAAGTCTGTTGGACTGAACTTTGCTCTGCTAAGAATTTTTAAATGGGTTCAGCCTTTTTTGTTTGAGTGTTTCCTTGCTAATAGGTGATTTAATTGCTCTAAACAAACGATATCTTTCTGAAACACATTTCAGCAGTGCCCAGTACCCACATCCTTGAACAATGACAAGCTTTCAGAGAGGACAGAATTAAAATTCAGAGGCAAGGCAGTTCATTTCAGTTCCAGGAATCGCTGTGTGAAAAACACTTGACTGATTTTAATCACATTCTTATTTATTTCAGTTTAGAGCTCAGCATGACTTTTTAAAAGCAGATGGCGATTCTTAGTGTTTTCATAGTGCAACAGCACCATCTAGAAGGTGTCATTAGGTATTAGCTTAGCTCACTGAAACCATTAAATATTCATGTTCACTTTCCACCACTGGGTTCACCTACTAGCTTTTGTGGAGCTTTCAATCACATCTCATGGCTTTCCTCTGAGTTAAGCTGATCATTTTTGTCAACTATTTCTAAGGTCAAAAATAAACCTTTGCACTCAGCAATATACAGTATGTATCAAGATTTAATGGCCGTGTTAAATGTATGAAGGCAGCAGTTATAATTGCATCTGAGGCCACCATTCAATAAAATATTTATTATTTCTATTCCCACTCTAGTCACTTTTGATGCACCTGTCCATTTCCTCGCTGATGTGCATTCCTATTCAGCAGTAAGATGCTTCTGTGTCATGCTTAAAAAAGCAGAGTGTACACACCACCCCTAACTCCTCCACACCAGTAGTCCTGGGATCTTCTCTCCCTCACATCAGTTTAATGAAGCCATTTATATCAGTGACAAGTGTGATCATCCTCCTCTCTTTCTTCCTGCCTCTTATCAACACTCGCAGCTGGTGTTCAGTGAGTGTGTGTGACCATCATTAAAAATGCACACCATTGCTCCAAACAGTGTCCTGACAAGCCACTCATGCTCATTGAATATCAGCCATTAAAATTTAGAGAAGAGTGCAAAGCATGACCTAGGTAGATAGGTATCAAATTCCCTGTTCAGGCTGCAGATGATATTACCTCCACAGGCAGCACTGCTGATGTTTCAAGGCTGTACGCTCTGAAACTGCTGTTGTCTGTCTTTGCTCGTACTGTAGCTGAGTCACATCAACAGTAACAGCATGAGACTCGGTGCGGCTGTACTGATCAGTTTACTACTGGTTGTTGACAAGGCTGATTCTAAAAAGGGTGAGTTGCTATTTGTTGTCTTGATGGAACAAAGCTTGAATTTGACTGGAGTGTTTTATTTTGGAGGTGTTATATATACAGAGAAAGTCAGGCTTCAATTATTCAGTGTCAGCTTGTAATAAATGTTCAGAGATTGTACAAGGTTGCTAGAAAATGGTCAAATGATTAAGCAAGGAAAGTGCAGTGACCTTTATTTGGTTCCTCTACTCTTTGAGCTAAATTAAAACTTTCTTTGTAATTATAAGATGTCAAATGTGGAGGAATCCTTTCTGCTCCCTCTGGCAATATCTCAAGCCCAAACTTCCCAGGCCTGTATCCCTACAACACTGACTGCTCATGGCTTATTGTGGTGGCAGAGGGATCCTCTGTTCTCCTCACCTTTCATCACTTTGAGCTGGAGTACCATGTCAGCTGTGCTTACGACTACATCAAAATCTACAATGGAATATCTGAGGATGAGGGAAACCTCCTTGGGATATTTTGTGGTGACATGTCTCCACCTCAGTTCACCTCATCGTGGAATGTCATGTCCATCATCTTTCATTCAGACCGCCATGTGGCCCACAGGGGCTTCAGTGTTGGCTACAAAAAAGGTAACTCGTTGTATTTGATGCAGTATGACAGGGGTTCAGTTGACTGACTGTCCAAAACCTGAGCTGATTTTATTGGCCATTCATGGCTTCTAGCTAAAACATTTTGGGCTTAAATTTAACATAACATTGCATAGGAACAAGACTAAGAGGAGACAGCTCTGTGAGGCCGTACTTGTGCAGAGTGGCACTCTGGGGTAAAACACTTTGATGTGCTACAAGCTAACAAAAATAATGCTACCATGTTGTTTAGGTATGTCAGCCATGTTCATCATCTGAGTTTAGTGTGCTAGCATGGGAAATAGCTACAGAAAGAAAGCACTTACCAAAGTCAAAGTCATTTTCTGGGGAACATAAATGCTCAGCAAAATTTAATGGCAATCCATCTGAGAGCTTTTGAGATTTTTCAGTCTGGATCAAAGTAGTGGACTTACCAACACTGCCAACTCTACAGGTTGATAGAATGGCTAAAAATGTCACACCGCATCAATTTCTGCCTGCAGTCTGACCAAAGAGTTAACAATAAAGATGCACAAAACCAATTATCCAGTGTACTGGTGTTATGTGTAATGCATGTTGTTCAGATAAATAATTTTCTCTCAGTTTACCAGTACTGTTCTCTTTCCAACCCTCTTTGTTATTCATAACTAACTGTCATCTGTAATATTGCTCCTTCTCAAAGAGAAAATATATAGCACATCTGAATTTGCCTTCTATCATCTCTAGATATGTGTGGTGGAGTCCTAACTGGCCTCTCAGGTGTAATCTCCAGCCCAGGCTACCCTCAGGAGTACAGCAACAATGCAGACTGCTCTTGGACCATCCATGTGTCCAATACCAGTGTGGTCACCTTGGTCTTCTTGGACTTCCAACTAGAAAACAATGAAGGGTGTAATTATGACTTTGTGGCCCTGTTTGATGGCCCGTCAGTTACCCACCGCCACCTCGGCAAATACTGCGGAGTAGATAAACCCCCCAGCACAGTCACCACTTCCAACCAGCTTTTGGTAGTCTTCAAGTCTGACTTCAACATTGGGGGGCGGGGGTTCAAGGCCTACTACTTCTCAGGTAAGAAAGTTTGATCTGACTAGTTGTATTACAAAAATAAAATCATCACTTCAGTAATATACAGTAAACTGCTTTTCAGTATTTGACCCATTTCACTGTCCGTGTGTTTGGTGTAACTGCAGGAACTGAAAATGCGAAAAGGCTTTGGTCAGTTACCAACAATGTAACATACTATTACTTTGTTTCTGGAAACCTTGATGCAGAAAAATCCTACTCCTTCAGTTATTCAGAACAGAACAGCTGCCATGAACAATAAGGAGGCTCCCACAATAAAACTAGTTCTGCAGTATAAAATTGGACTAGGATAGAAAACAAAGGGATGTGTCATTAGGTTGATGTTAGTGGTGAGAAGGGAAAAAGCAGATTACTGCAAGTTTAAACAAGGCCCATGAGAGACTTGGAACATGATACAGAAGATCCTGTCATCTGATGAAATGAAAATTGAACACTTATGAAAGAACACAAAGCACCTTTTTGACAGAAACTAGGTAGAGTAGAGGGGGAAGGCATTTCATTCCAGCATTACCACAAACATGAATATAAAGTCTTACAGTTGTCTCACCAAGGACAACACTTGAATCCAGTTGAAACGGCAAAGTAACTTTCTGACAGCTGCTCACAGACTGTCTCCATTTGGCCTTGTTTTGCATAAACAAATTAAAAAAGCAGAATAAAATCCAGCAGTCAAATGATGTGAACACAGACACAGTTGTATCTACCTGTTTAAAAGTGTCATTAATTTTTAGTTTTAATATCTGTAGTAACAATCCTTTCAGATTTTGTGTTGATTCATGAAAATCAATTCATTTTTAATTCAGATGCAAAATTGCAGAAACATTCATCAGACTCCTATATATCCTAAAAATCTTTGAAATGCTTTTAAAATTATAGGTTGAAATTTAGAGATAAACACCTTTTAGGTTTGTTGTTGAGAGTTAGATGTACTTTTATGTCTGTCCATCACATGTGAAGCTGCAGCCAGGAGTTGGTTAGCTTAGGTTAGCATAAAAAAATCTAATTAACTGTACTTTAACAGGTGAATGCCAGCAGGTCCTGTCAGCAATAAGTGGCAATTTTAGCAGCCCACATTTCCCTAACATCTACCCGAACAACGTCAACTGTCACTGGACCATCACCCTAGCAGCTGGATACCGCATCAAACTCTTCTTCCCTGTCATGGATTTAGAAGACCGCAACAGCCTGTCAGATGAGTGTGATTACGACTATGTTGCCATTTATGATGGTGACAGTCAGACAGACACCCTGCTGGGACGCTGGTGTGGCAGGGAGCAACCGCACTCTCTCATCTCAAAGGGCAACAAGTTGCTGGTGGTACTCAGCACAGACAGAAATGAAGCTCACAGAGGGTTCACTGCCTCTTATCTTGGAGGTAAATATTCCTTATATAGGCATCTGGGTGCTGTAGGTTTAAGTCATGCCTTCCCTACTGCTACTTCTTTCAGTCTAAATGTCAGCTAAGTATAGTCTTAAACACTTAAAATGCTAAATGGTAATTTCTACAAATAACTCTCTCGTATGTTATTCTTAGTATGTTGCTCTTAAAAAGTGCAAACTGTCTTTTTTCCCTGCAAGTGGTACCTGTAAATGTCAGCTGCACAAGATCAGAATTCTACATTTTGATACCCCAGCAGTCCTTACCTCAGCTGGACCGTGAGAGCATCTACCTGGGAAACCCAACCTGTACAGCCCAATTAATAGCCACCTCATATAAGATACTTGCTCAGTTTGTCAACTGTGGCACTGCAAGCCAGGTGACTAGCCACTTTCTCACACCATAATGGGAAATAATTTACTATAGTTTACTGTTAAAGGCATTGATTTATAACAGAAGTGTCTCTTATGCAAATGCACATTTTAACTTTACTGTGTATCTTATTTCTGTCAACACTGGAACACCTGATGCTTTACAGAAACATCGCAACATCACCATGCTGGTAAACAAACTCTACATTGATTTCTCTGATGGGAAGCAGCAGAATGTGCAAGAGTATAAGGTGCAGTGTGATGCCCTGAGAAAGATTGCATCAGTGTCCATCATTTCAGAAGAGGAGCGGCATCTCGAGGAGCAGGCCCAGCAAACTGACAGTGATAGTAATGGAAATGCAGGGGGGCAGGAAGCTGGGCCTCACGACTTGAGCGATATTGTCTTCATTAGCATCTGTGTTCTGGCTGTTATTCTCATGGTAATTGCTATTGTTTGGCTGGTGCTGCTTTAGTAACAAATACTGTAGTCTTATACAACAAACAAAAGACTATAGTTCTTAAGTTGTCATATTTTAGATAATATATTGTATTAAAAAACATTCACCAGCAATATGAAAACAAAGCGCCTAAAGAAAATCTGTGTATGATTCCGGTACAAATGAATAGTATTATCATTACCATCAACTGCAATGATTTACATACTGTAAATTAAAAAAAAACAGTGTAAAGCTGCTGATGTGCCACAAAATGTAACATATTTTATACCTCTTTTACAAAAAATCAAGAAAACAATTTTTAAAAATGTGCATGTATCAATGAACCTTGATTAATTTCAAATAAAACAACCATGTCTTCCATAAGTAGTCAGAGGCTCTGTGTTATTTATCTAAAATTATTTCTTATATTTAGAAACCAACTGGTTGATTGATATCGCATTGTCCTTCACTTGAGTTCTAACCTCAGGTTTATGTTTGAAGGCAAACACCAGCGCTCTGACAGTCCTTCTGTATGAGCTGCTGACCAGTCGAGAGCTCTGGTGAAACAGCTCTCTCTCAATGTTGTCAATAAGACCCGAATCCTCCTGTGGATCAGATAAAGAAATACAAATAACATATAACAACAAACAACAACATATAGAACAAATTTTATGTGGACTTGGAGTTAATGAATATCTTAATTAATGATCTATAACCTGTGTTTTCTAATATGAAGGCAACACTCAAAACGTTACAAGGGAGCTTTGTGTGATCCCCTACAGTGGCAAGGTTTTTAAATTCATGCATCTGACCATCACATAATGTGGCTTCTTCAATACATTTTAAAAAACTGCAAAACTAAATTCACTTAATGTAATGTAAAACATAGAATATAAAGTAAAATACACTACATCAGACTGCAATGAGACGCTCCTCACCTTGACTTCCAGGGCTTCCGACATTAGTCTCCTGGCATTGCTCCTGAGTCCTTCAGATTGTTTGTCGGAGCGCACTTCAATAGATGGCTTATTGGAATTCTCTCCAATGAATGTCCTCCAATCAGTGTAAACCTTTGCTGCCATTGAACTTACCTCTGGGTCCGGGTGCTTTCGCATCTTGTTTACAGTGTGACCTTAGAGGCAAAAGGTTTTCATCATGTCTTGAACTAAATGTGATTTCAATAAAAGGAATGGCATGTATGAGGTAAATATTATTTTGATAGCTGTTTGCCTTTTGTGCTATAGTAACACTGCTGTAACAATGCAGTGAAAGCCAACACATGACTCATAATCATAAAGTATACATTTGCTGGATTGCAAGCAGCGTAAAGCAGGTACGTATTTAATGTTTTCACACCAACAATAAATTGTTTCTCTACATCACTATTAGCAAGCACCCACGCAAAATAAAAAAAAACAAACATGACAAGCCATGCAGAAGCATGATTCTTATCATAATGGTCTCCAGCCTACCAATTTTTGTGGACTTGAGAACCTCCCTGGAGGGGATCTTCTTGCTCAGCTCTGTGAGGGCAGTGAGCAGGTTGTCCTTGCTCTGTTCTGGCAGCTCCATCATGGACTTATAGCGCATGATGTCCTCAATCACAACCACCCTCTGTGAGATACATGATACCTATGAAGAAGATTTGTCACAGTAACACTAAATGCTTGATCAGTTATGTGCAGGATTCATAGCTCACCCGTAAAGACTCAATGGTAGTTTGTTTGTAAACCTTTTCATTGTTTTTTGACTGTGTAGGCATTTCCCGTTTCGGAAGCCTCACTACAAACTTCTCCATCTTGTTCAAATAAATGGAACTGGCAGCCGATAACTGAAGTTCAGCTCAGAAGGAAAATACAGACAACCGGCGCAAGCTAATATTAACTAAGCTACTGTTAGCTGTTAGCGTTACCTGGCTAATATTACCGAGCCAGCGATCTTCATTTGAAATGTTATATATCAAGCACAGTGCTGACTTAAATCAAATCATTAGTCCATGCTTTAATGGTTAAGAGTTCCCTTTATGATGGCACCTGTAACACATATCCAGTTCAGTACAGCTAGCATCAACTAGATGGCTATAGTAAAATGGAGAGATCGACGTTGCCTTTAAGTACTGTCGGTAATAACAGACTGCATCATGGAACCGAACAAACAAGAGGGGAATACACATTATATAAGCAAAAATAATTATGTCAATATATTTAAATTTTATAAAGGACAAAATAATGTAAAAATAATAAAATAGCCTCTATTTATGCCATTTCAATGCTAATATTCTCATAAAGAATAACATTTTAGTTTATATTTAAATTATTTACATTATTTTAGTTTAGGTTGAGGTGATTGATTTGATTTTATTGTGCATACACAAAAGATATGTACTTTATATACACAAAACAGGAACATCTTAACAGAACAGAATAATTAAACACGCATAAGATATAAAACTACAGATACAATGTAACAATGTATCATGCATACATTTTAAGTGTATTAAAGGATGCTAAAATGACCCTAAAAGTTAACATAATTTACTTCTATAGTGGTCTGTACCTTTCAGACTCACTATAACAAAGGAGGTTTAGTTCCAAAAATAAAAACGCGGGACATTCACTATGGTTCTATTGTTTAGCTACAGAATTTGAACGTGGATCTGTGATATCAAGAGTCTGTCAGAAGACTTGCAGAATTTACGAGGAGCAGTGAAGTTCAGCAAATTATAGAACCGTCTCGCGTTTGGAAAGGTTCTCGCGAGATGACAAACCGATTTAGAAGAAAGGAGGAAGAGGAACGTGTTGTTTGTTTAGGTTTTTGGACACAAAATGGGGACTCTTTCCTCCTTCGTCTGTGTTTTGGGACTGTTTGTCCTGCTGGCGTGCGCATCAGCGTCTTCGGATGTGTTCAATAGCGTTTTGGGAAACACGGCATCTTGTCACAAGTCATGTGAAATGACATACAGTTTGCATACGTATCCACGGGTGAGTTATCTTGCTGGGGAAAGTAATTTTAGCTAGCGTTAACATTAGCTAACTAGTGTTTAGTAAGTTAGAAAAGCACAATTGAGGCTGTATAGTTTAGTTTGTGACACTGTTTTCTGTTTAATTAAACGCCTCTTGCAAAGTAGAGCGTATGACTTGTGTAAAAGTTGAAAGTGCGCCATCTTTCATATATGCCTTGTTTTATCTACGCATTCAGCTGAACTGTTTTTGTGATTTGTTTTATAGGAGGGGGAGCTCTATGCCTGCCAGAGAGGCTGCCGTCTGTTTTCTATTTGTCAGTTTGTTCGTGACAGCGAAGATCTGAATCAGACCAGATCCGAGTGTGAATCAAGTAAGCTGTACATCGAGCCTCAGACCTATTTAATTCATCTTTGTGCATTGTCCAGGCCTCTATGATATGGCTTGTTATCCGTGTCATCATCTACAATAAAGCTATAAACAGTGGTTTAACCCTATGTTTACACATTCAGTTCCATTGTAAGGTTGCCCTCACAAAACACCACTTTGTCCTCTTGCTATAATCGTGTTTTACTATCTGTTATCTCTCACCACCCTCAAACTTCCAAAGCATGTGATGAAGCCTATCCGGAATCCGAGGAGCAGTATGCATGCAACCTGGGCTGTCAGAATCAGCTTCCATTTGCTGAACAACGGCATGAGCAGGTATGTATATACCCTCAGGGAGGTATTTGCATAGTTACACACACAGGCCTCAGTAAAAACAACAGAGTGCTTAGTATTGTTTTTCTTTCTTTCTTTCTTTTCTCTTTGTAGTTGGAATCCATGATGCCGAGGATTCACTTGCTTTATCCCCTGACTCTGGTTAGAGGATTTTGGGATGATATGATGAGTCAAGCTCACAGCTTCATCACCTCAACATGGACATTCTACCTCCAGGCTGATGATGGCAAAGTTGTAATTTTCCAGGTAGTGATTAAGGAAAAAATGGATGACCTACTCTCTTATTGTGCATTCAAACAGCAGTTAGTTCTCTTCTTATGCAAATGTAATGGAGAACATTATTATTTCTGTCTTGTGTTTTGCAGACTGGACCACAAGTCAGGTTGTTCTCCCAGTTTGAACTGGAAAACGAAGTCAAAGAAGAGCCACAAAACAGCTGTAAGCCTTCCATGCTCCATTTTCTTCAAATTTACTGATAATGATGATAAAGGCAGTAATATTCTCTACTTATGTTAATTCTTATTTTGAAGAAATATTGTGGAATATAACAATGAATTTAAAAAAGAAATTAACACATTGTTGGTTTTGGTGTTAGTATTGCAGATAAGAAGATTATGTAATAACACTTGCCTTATCCTTCATAATTAGCCTCCATTAACAGCCTGGGTTTTCCAATACAACAAGGGAATGAACAGATTAAATGTGCATTTCAATTAACTTTCATTTCTCATTTTCAAGTCCCCGGATTTAACAAGCCAATTTACAAAGAATACCATCGAACTTTAATCCAGGAGAGGGACAGAGATATGACCGCTGACCGCACCTATAATGATGAATACAACGTCTTCGGCTGCCTCTTGAGGTTGGGTAGCTCACTTTTATCTGTATTGCCATGGAAATTCAGAGCACGGTATTAACAACACTAAGGATCTAAGCTTAATAATTATACTGTTCTTCATAGGAATACATGGCTTCCAGGTTGGATCCTAACCACAACTCTGATCCTGTCTGTTCTGGTCCTCATCTGGATCTGCTGTGCCACTGTGGAAACTGCTGTAGACCAGTATGTACCCACTGAGGTAGGTCCACTGATGTCCTTGTTTTAGTTAACAATCTTAAGTATGTAAATATTTGTTATGTGTAATTTCAGGGCGTTTTAGTTTTGTACTTTTTATGTTTGATTGTACTTGTTATAGTAAATTATTTTTAATGTTTGTATTTTTAAGAAATTAAGAGATCAAAGATTTTTATTGTCTCCACATATAGTGAATTGACAATTGACAGCGTTCAGCATCATCACAGCCTGATGGATGAAGCTGTTTGTAAGTTTGGTGGAGTGGGCCTGAAGACTCCGATACCTTCTCCCTGAAGGCAGGAGTCTGAAGTGGGAGTGTGTGGGGTGGGAGGTGTCATCAGAAATGCTGATGGTTCTGCGGGTGAGGCGGGTTTTAAAAACGTCTATGAGGGAAGGCAGAGGGGCACCGATGATCTTGCTGGCTGTGTTCATTATGTGTTGCAGGGTCCTTCTGCAGGAGACAGTACAGCCTCCGTACCACAGTGATGCAGCCAGTGATTACGCTCTCAATGGTGCCCTGGTAGAAAGAGCGCATGATGAGGGGTGGGGCACTGGCTCTCCTCAGTTTGCGGAGGAAGTAGAGGCGTGTTTGAGCCTTCTATGTTCTGCAATCAGAACTTTCAGTTGCCCCTTTGCTTAAGCTACACAGACACTTCAGCTTGTAAACCACCCCACTGATGACACAGTTCACGGTCTGTGCTGAATGGGGATGCCTGAATTCCTCAGTGCAGGCCAGGTTGTGTTGCACTGAGCACAAGAGTAATTGTGAGAATTGAGATTGGTATGAACTTTGGAGTGATTTCTCAGATCTAAAGGGATGAAAATATCTTTCAAAATGTAGCCCTCTTGTATGCAAAACAGGATTTCTAAACAAATTAGCAACTCTTTCATTGTCATTGCCATTTTTACTTTCAGAAATTGAGCATCTATGGTGACATGGACTACATTAAGGAACAGAAACTGACTCCATATCCAGCATCATCCCTGCTGATCATCACCTCTAAAGGCTCAGAGGAAGAAGCAGGGCCACTCCCTACCAAAGTGAACCTGGGCCAGTCTGACATCTAGAAGCCAAAGCTGTAGCAGAGAAAGGATATCTTCCTTAATGAATGACCTTAATTTGATTTTTTTTTTTTAATCATCTGGTACAAGGTCTGTGCTTCTTGTGGTCTAAACAGGAGTAACAACTTGCAGAGCATTTTGTATTACTGATACTCTATGTTGTTTCCCTTTGTGAAGCTTTTAAAATCAAACTAAGAAAATGGGGTTTTCTGTATATTGGTATAATTGAGGCATTATGGTGAAGTGGTGATGGTACATGTCAAACAGATTTTTGAAGTTTCTTTCAGTTTTGACCCATGGATTAGCTTTCTGTTGGTGTGCTTTATTTTATTAAATACTGTTTAAATGAACTATTTGTGACTTGAAGTGATACGGGGTTCACCCTAACCCTCAACCTTTGGTACAATTGTGCTAATATTGGAGACTCCCTGTTTGTACTTTCCATATGATACTGACTTTTACAAAAACCCATTTTCTCTTAAAATAATGGTGGTACATACAGTAGCTCTTTCCAACTTACTGTTGCCTGTTCTCATAATGATGGATCAGAATTAAATACAATGGAGTGATATTGATGACTTGTTTTTTGTCATTTTAAACTATACATTAATGGTGTACATTAATGTGCTATTGCATAATTCTACCACTTTATAGTGAACAGAAAGTTGTAATCTTGGCATCTACAATTCTGTAGCTCCCTTATTATACTGTATATTCTCAGCATAATGTGCTATTAATGTAATTTTATGACATCTACCCAGCCATCTTCTTATCTACCAATTGTTTGATATGTCAGAGAAGCAGCAATTACACTGTACATAAAAGATGTAATTCATGGCTGGATATACCTGCTAGAGGTTCCCTTATCAACCCTGTCTTTCTCCCACTTTTTAGGCCAGTGCTTAGATAGTGAAGGTCTGCTTTGTGGTAATTTGATCTAACACATTAATTTAGGAATGTGCACCACATAAACCAAACCTTGACCAGGTACTCTTTTTAACCTCTAGAGTCCCTGCGTCCTCATATGAGGACCGCACAGCTTGGGTTTCCAAAGCTCAGGACTCTAGAGGATAACCTCTAGAGTCCTGAGGACTAGGTTATACGACAATCATCCCGGCCGTCTCAAGGTCTTTGTCATTTGACAAAAACCAATATAAAACCAGTTCTAAGCTTTACGGGTCCCAGCGTAGTGCCCATTTTGCCAGGCCCGATGAGCACAACTGACTGTGTTTTCAAAGCACAAAATGGCAAGCAAGTGGATACATGCAAAATATTAAACTTTATTTATAAAAATATCAAAAATGTGACCCGAAACCAAGAAAATCATGTTTACAGTTAACCAATGTGAATCATCTTGGAAAATATTCTTGTCTATTTGAGCCTAAATGGACATAGAGTATGTCTCAATAGCTGTTCAACAAGTCAGTGTCCTCTGAAGTAAGAGCTGATGCAGACAAACGCTTTGTTGGAGGGCTGGGACAAGAACTGTCGCAACCTTCTGACTCATGCTGCCTTTTTTTGATGTTGTGCCAGCAAGGCTCTGCTTGATGACTTTTTGTCTTGTGAGGAACCTGTTTTTCTGGAATAGGACTGTTTGCTGCAGGTCTGCAGAAATGCAGTCTCTCTCCCTTGGCTTCTTCATTCTCACATGCCTGGGGTGCTGCCTTCAAGACTTTTTTGAGAAACTTCTGCCTGCCAACTGTAATACAAAAACGCTTTCAAGACTATCTTTGGTAATGTGTCATAAAATTTAAAAGTATTCTATTACAGTGTGAATGTAATGTAGAATAAACTCACAAAAGTGAAGTGCTGATGTTCTTGATTCTTCAATTTTCCTCTGTTTTGGCATTTGTGCGCTATTAGTTTCCCATTGGTTTATAACCTGAAAATGAGTCAAACATGTTTTTATGATGCATCAAATGTCACTACACTTGCAACATTTGGCCTATAGTTACAGAGCCTTCTTTATAACTTACTTGCTCTGCCCATCCTTCAGTTTTACATTTCGAGTGATCAAAGGTGTCCAGTGGTTTCTCAGAATAGCTAAGCCCCAGAAGTTTCCTTATGGTTGTCTTCAATCCTGTGCCAAGCTGGAGGTATGGATTACATTTGAGTATCAGCATCACGGTAAGCTTCAGCCAAGTGTTACACCTAACCTTCGTGGACTCACCTTCACACTGGTCCCTGATACATCAAGTTGTTCAAGTTTCGGGAGGCATGTGAGGTATCTGAGCGCCCTGTCTGAAATAGGGTTATCTGTATAAGAAAGAGAATAACTGATCAATATTTTATGTATGGGTGTGCCCTTTAAGGTGGCTGTATTTGTTCTGCCATTACAATATGAAAGCTGCTAATATTTTGGTAACTAACGTGAAATATCGAGGAGCTGAAGACAGTCCAGTCCTTTTTTCATCATCCGGATCGGTGCAGTTAATCTTTGAAGGCCCACATCTGACAGGCTGTTGCCACCGATGAAAAGCTGAATGAGGTTACTAAAGAACAGAGGTGGAAGTGTTAACATCTTTTCTTTCATTTTCAATATTGTGTCTTTGGGACTGAGAAGTCAGGTATTACCTTGCCAGTGAGCTGGTTGTTAGATGCTGGAATATTTCATGATCATCACCCAATCTGCAGCCAAACAAATCTAGAGATTTCAAACTATGAAATGTTTTTATTTCATCTATCCTCTCATGCAAAAGTGGAAACCTGCAGAAATAAAAGGGGGACAAGAAATATTACTGTTTTTGGCAAAGCAACCTTGAAGGGTGGCAGATGTGGTACAAACTTAACGTACCTATTTCGTAGACAGAGGGATCCTAGCACCATCTGCCCATATGCATCACTGAATAACTTCAGGGCTTGAGGAGAAATATCTGTGTTTAAAAATACACGATTTTCCTCTGCTGCTGCAAAAAGTTTGTCTCCTATTTGCTCAGGGAAGCCAACCAGAGAATCCACATGGTGAATGTTATCAGCTACGAACAACAGCGTGATGTCAAACAGAGATTTTGAGGTGTACCTTAGACTTCCCTCTGCGTTGTACGTGAATACGAAGTGCTCTTTTCTCGGCACAAATGGATTTGTCCTTCTGCATGAAGTTACTGGCTTTGGCTGTGCTAGGACTATGTCACTAACACAACGAAGTTTGCCTCTTTCTCGGACAAAAACGGTTTCATTGTCCATACTAACCTCACGCGTTTTCCTGTAATGACAACACTTTCAACTCAGGGACATAAGATACCGTTAGCAAAGTAACTTAGCTCATTTGCTAGCTAATGAATAGAGTCGCTGACTTTGCTAAAACCTCGACCAAAAGCCCCCTTAAGTCTTACTTTGGACTTTGATATTACATATGATCTTTCCTCGTTATGTGTAATATTTTGCGGCGCTTTCTTCACTACACGTGTCTTATGATAAGTATTTACAGAGTTGTTTTCGTATCCTACATAGCTAGTTACCAGTTTTTGCTGGGTAACTTCAAACTAAAAGTCTATTACTAAACGATGATTATTTCAAGGCCACACAATACTCAAACGCCACGATAAGTAACAACAATTTCATGTTAATAAACCTTCGCAAGCATCACAATTAATTTGTCATTACGCAATCAATTATGTGTCAAACGTTCAAACCCTTACTTTGAAAATGTTTCGTAACAGGAAGAAGTCTTGTTTACATGGGGAGTATGTCCTGCTTCAGGCAATGCTAACCTAGCGGAGAGAATTGAAATGATTTGTGTGAATTTTCGAAGATAACTTGGTAAGCATGTATTGTGCAAAGAAAATAACCAAACTCCGTAGTGTATTTTTTTTTATATATCCGAGCCTCTTGCTGTTCTTGCCACTTCCAATGTAGTTAACATTAATAATAAAGTTGAGTTGTCAAGTGATGAGTTGATAAGTTAGCTGTCTTAAGCTAATGTTAACTTAGGGCGTTTTGGTTTTCCCCTGTATTGCTCGATTACAACGTTTTATACCAAAATCCGGAGACGGAATAATAAGGAAGCTAAAATTACGTTTCTTTCCTTCACAGGTTTCTAAGACCAACTTAAATTATTGCAACATTAATTTGTTGATAAGTTCCTGAGAGAAGTACCTGATTAAGGAGCGTGAATCCGTGAAAATGGCGTCACCAAATGATCCATTTGAATTTCAAGGTGATTGTCTTCCACAGTTTTTATGTAGGTTATTAAGAAATTAAGTTGCTTCCTTGATGTTGTCCTACAGCTAAATGCATATCTCGAACTGTCTGTGCTACCGTGACGCCAAGTTCACTCGAAAAATGTCCAAACTGTTGAGTAATGCTTTTCACTTTTCTGTGCCATGGAATAAGAATTTGAAGAAGCTGACAGTCTGCTGAAAGCCAACAGAGACGCAACCACCATTAGCATTGAAGATGAAGATATCAAAACTGAGAAGCAGAGAAAAGCTGATGGTGATGAGGATCCACTTGGCACTGATGATAAGACAGAGGTCAGCAAAGACAATACAAACTGTGTGAATTGTTGAGATCTATTTTATGATTGATTAATTAAGTTTTTCTCCATTTTCTTTTCGATTGAAGCTTCTGTCTGGACAAAAGGAAAGTCCTCCTTTCTGGACATTTGAGTACTACCAAAGATTTTTTGACATCGAGACCCATCATGTAAAATACTTAGTTTATTTTAATGACTTTTTATCACTGTGACAGTTTGTCTTGTACCTTGGATTAGTTTGCATATGTAATTGTTTATAATATTTCTTTCAGGTGAAGGAAAGAATCATTGGATCCATGCTCCCTTGGCCAGGAAAGAACTTTATTCATGTCTACCTTCGTAGAAATCCTGATCTTTATGGTTAGTACTTATGCAGCTTTCTTGGTATAATTAGGGGTTGTCATGCCTTTTTGGTGTGTCATATAAGAAATCCTTGGTACCTTTTTTCTGTACTGTAGCCTAATTTGGTAACATTTCTAATTAATGTTGTTTTTAAAAAAGCAAATGGGCACAAAAACTGAAGTTCTAATATTTTATATTTGTGATTTCAGGGCCATTCTGGATTTGCACCACTCTTGTGTTTGCCATTGCCATCAGTGGAAACATATCCAACTTTCTGGTGCACCTAGGCAAACCAAACTATAAGTATACTCCAGAGTTTGGAAAAGGTAAATGCCATGATTCTTTGGCATTTATGACTCATTTTCTCATAAAGAATGTAAGAAGAAACTGTAAATTTCATTTGAAAACTTTTATTTTTAAATGTGCTTTGTTTTCCAGTGACCATAGCTGCAACAGCGATCTTCACCTATGCTTGGCTGGTGCCGCTTGCCCTCTGGGGTTTCCTGCTATGGAGAAACAACAAGATCATGAACTTGGTGTCATATTCCTTTATGGAGATTGTCTGTGTGTATGGATATTCACTTTCAATTTACATACCTGCAGTGGTAAGACCTGAACTTTCTTTTTTTAAATCTTATAAGAACAGGAGCTAACAGAATAACATTAACTGTTATATTTCATATCCATCAGGATTTAATGTTTAGCTTTATATTTTGACAATTTGAAATGAAACAGTGGATTCTATTTGATTGATTGCATTTAATATAAAATATTTTACCTCTCGTTAAGACTCAATGCGACCACTGTCATTTCCTTTGTAAGGTCCTATGGATTCTCCCATATGAATGGCTGAGGTGGTGCTCCATCGTGGTGGCTCTTTGCCTCTCTGGCTCAGTTTTGGTGATGACTTTCTGGTCTGCAGTCAGCGACGACCACCCCAAAATTATCATAGTGATTACGTCAGCTATAGTGGTGCTCAATGTCCTGCTTGCTGTTGGTTGTAAGGTAATTGTGCTATAGCTATGATGCTGCTTTTATAAATAACATAAAAAACAAAATAAAGTAACTTTTCTGGTGGCATTAATTACAGATGTGAGATATATAGAAATAAATCTGTGTGATGAAACTAGATACAGCATTCATTGTATGGCTTCGGCAAACTACATCTGCATTCATATAGTTGATTTGATTTGATTTGATTTGATTTATTCTTTCAAGCATGTAAAACAGTTGATATGACAACACGCATAATTTTACACATAATCCAATATCAATTTGCTTATACCTAGTACATGCTTGAATGGAGTAGGAAGAAGTCAGACTTATCCAGTCCTACCCCATGACATCATCTTACCATCATTGGTTTGCAAGCAGTAAATGATTCACTTCTACCCACACAATACAACACAGTTGATACAAGCTCTCTGCCCATCTTAGTGTAGGTAACAATGATTACTCGGCCTCATTTGTCCTCAGTGACTTCAGTAGCATAGCCAGGCTTTGAACCAATTTACATCAGTCACAAACAGGAAGAATCTTACATTCCTTATGCGTTTCTGGGAAATGGCCACACCTGATGGTGTCAAGTTAACTCCCTTTGGAGAGACTCTTCACTGGAAACTTTGACCACATTTGTTACCATGTGTGAGAATGGGCAGTTTCTTGTGTCAGTGTGAATAATGACAGATCCACAGAGGTATCATATGTCTCCTCACATTCATGTAATTAGTTTACAAAGTAAGATCTTGTGTGATGGCTGACCAACATGAATGCTCTGAAAGAACACCATTCTCTCCTGTAACATTGAACATTTGGTGCACGTTTACAGACACATGCTTTGGTTCTTGTTCACCGTGTAGCTTCTCATAATCATGTAACTGCCTCTTTGCTGAGTTTTCACCTTTCTTTCTTTGCTTGTGTTTTCAGGCATATTTCTTTAGCAAACCAGAACCAGTACTGACACGTCACAGTTCTGCTGCAACACAGGTGACCATGGTGCCATCTTAGACATGAAAGCTTTTCCCTGTCTCAAGGTAAACAATACAACACAGAAGCTTTTTAAGCCATAAGCCCGTTATCAAATTGCACTAATAACCTAATACATATGTCATTCTTCTCTTCCTTGTGCTTTCTCATACTCAGTTGTATCAAAAGTGATGCAGTAGCAGCTCTACATTGTGTGTCTGTTTTAGTGGCTTTGGCTCAAGTGTGTTTTTGGATCTGCTATAGCATGTATATCTGAGATCAGACTTCCTGAACATGATTTCTCCTTCCTCAAACAAGTGTTTTTTAAATTATAGGTTCTCCTGTTGCCTTATTAGAGAGAATCAGGTTGCAGTGGTGATGAAGTCATTCGTCATCTGGATTTCAACCGCACTCAGACGTTCTGGCTCAAGACCTTAAAATCCAGTGTGTATGCTTGATAACACTGTTACCAAGTATGTTATTTCTAATTGGATGTCTACAGTTCTGTAAATATAAGAGGGATATGGTGTTTCCCAGAGCAAAAGCTCTCTTTTAAGATGGCAATTTCAGGCTTTATAGTTCTAATGTTGAAAATGTTTAGATAACCAGCCTGTGCAGTCATGTTGTTGGCATGAAAGGCACTTTGTACATGTGTTTTTATATATCTTTAGAGAACTGGCTGGTAAACATACTCAGAATTTTATAGACAATACAACATTTACAGGTGTTGGAGAGATTTTCAAGGGTTGGACATATGTACTCAGTTACTGAAATTTCTGTAAGTGGTAAGTGGCCTAAACTAAGCTATTTTTGTAATTATAAAGTTTTTATTGTAACAAACTGCATTTTGTGTGACAGATGCAGAAAGTATGAAATTCAGTATGAGTGTTTTATGGGGAAACAATAAAAACTGGTCTTTGTGGGACCCCTTTTTATTAATGAAATTATCATTATTATGACAGTGATCAATTCACAGTCCACCAAGAGCCAATTTTCAAGCACAAATTAAACTCTAAACAGATTGCATACAGTTTTTACTCATATTAAATAAAGCTTCCAATATTTTAGGCAAAATACATGTTCCCTGTGTTGTCATAAATAACTTATCAGAACAGTGATACCACTCAGTGTAAATATTAATCTCTAATGACACACACACACATATACAGTACACATATACAGTACACGTTACTAAATACTGGAAAGATATGTGTTAAGCTAAAATGTGAAAAATCTAGGTTAAACACTTATTCAAATTTGTAAAAAAAAAAAAAAAAGTTACTAAATCCTATCACTACAGTCTTTTGCTATTTCTCCCCAAAATAATATAATTTTAATTAAATGTTTTTCATCTGTAATAACTGAATTTACTTCTGAAATCATTGTAAACATTTTTGGTGACTACATAGATAAATCGTATAAATGCTTAAAATGTCACTGAACACTTTATGTTCACTTTCTTCTTTCAGTAAACTTGAGGTTTTTAGTTAGAACCTTACATTACCCCAGCTCCCACATGTGTAGGCAACACAGCTCTTGTCCACAATCTCCTGACAACACTAACTCCATCTTAACTGTCATGTGGTCAAGCAAACTCATAGAATCTACTGTGTTGCAGTTTGGATACACAGATGTCCTGCAGTGGAAAATGTAAAGCCTTTTCTACAGCCAGTCTGATCACCACCTTACATGCAGTGGACCTAGGTGTGGTGTTTTAGATTAATTAACAAAACTGAAAATCATGTCACTTGAAACCATGTCAAAGGTTTGGTGGTGTCCTAATTAATGGTCATTCTAGCCCCAGCCTTGAATTACACAAGAGCTTCAGATACAGATAACCTTCTCAACCCTCTCAGACAATGTCACATACCTCAGGCAGCTGCTGGTGCTTGTGGATTTATCAACCCAATACTCAAGGATACTTTGTACCATTTTTACAAAGAAGACTTTTTAATGTATATGTTTCTGGCATTGTGATTTGGAAATATTTATGTAGGATGGCCACATCAAATGGCAAAGGTGAAAAACTGACAAAATTTGAGTCTTCAAGGCTTTTGGAGAAATATAAAAATGAAAGGGATGAGGCCATACACAAGGAAAGCGTTCTCAGGGAGAAACTCAGGCAGTATGAGTCAAGGGTACGTTCAAGTGAAACTCTGAAACAGAAATTGAAGACCATGACTGTCAACAACAAGGAGCTGAGGAAACAAGTTAAGATTCTTCGTACTGAGATTGGACTTGAGTCAAGTCCTAAGTTTAATGGAAAGACCACAAAAGACATAATCAATGACTTACATGAGAAGGAGCGCGAGTGCAATTCCTTGGTGGAGAAGACTGGTAAACTGAGCGTGACCATTGATGAACTGACATCAGAGCTGGCAAATACAGTCACCTCGAAAACTCTTTTGGAAGACCAAGTTCAGTCACTGAAGCAAAACCTCAAGGATATGACAAGTAATCAACGTCGTCTGCTGAAGCTATGGGAAGACAAGAAAATCCAAAAGGAGCAGCTCACCCTCCCTCCTGTTACCCAGAAACAATTTGTCCATAAACAAGTTCAAACTGAGGTGTCCATCAGTTCAACTCAAAAGCTCCCAGCCAATGCTTTTGAGATCAAGCCATTCTCTGTGGACAATGACCAAAAGACTGCTTAGGATAAACATAGTCTTCTAACTTTTTAAAATGGTTGTCATCACGACATGAAGGCTTTCATGCATAGTAAAACTAAAGGAATCCAGGAATGACTTATGGTCTGACAGCCATTAATGCTTTGCATTGAGAAATGATATAGCAAATATTATAGGCCTAATATGTAATATATACTCATGGAATCTAAAAATGCACTACATGTATTGGTGTTATTGCTATTAATGGTGCATTTATAAATCCCATGTGTATATATTGAATGTGTAATATGTTATATAATGAATAAGTAAAACGAGATACACTTTAAACATTGTAAAGCTGATTTATGGGTTGTCTTGGTGCCTTGTGTAATTAAATCTTATGACAATATTTTAAGTGTTGGAGTCGTTCAAATGTAGCCTAACTGTTTAGATCTGTTCAACATTTAAGCAAAATATTTTGAAGCTAATGTTTATGAGCTTATAACTAAGTTTTCATGGGTAAGTCAGTTCGATTTATTGTGAATATATATATTTTTCCAATAAGCAGATTTAAAGTGAGTCGACGTAGATATAATATGAAATGCTGGCAGCAGGCATGGAGATAGACGACTATTAACTGGGGTCCGTCAAAGGTCCTTTGAATGCATGTGGCGCGATATGGGAAACAGAGGAAAATAGTTCGACGGAAGGAGAGGCGAGGATATTTATTATTGCCCTTTTTCCCTCCAGACATGTTTTCTACAAAACAAAGTTGTTGGTTTATTCGCAAGGTGAGTGTTCTGTCTTTTCAAAAAGTTTCTTCATTTACAAAAGAAAAAAGTTTCGTGCTAGCGGGTGCTAACTCTATGTAGGCTACACTGTCTGGTTATGCTAGTCTATGTAAGATTAACGTACCCTGTAGCCTACAGTTTTTTCCACTTATTATTTATTAATAAATATTTAAACAAATTTTCACAGAACAAAAGAGCATGCCCCAAGTAAGGTAAAGATATCAGGCTCTATTTTCAGACAGGAAGAACGTTAAGTTAAAATAGCAAACATAGAATAACTTATAAGAGAACTGTCTCTTAGTTCACTTGGGTAACGTACGTCAATGTGATATTAATTCTATAAAATGAGTAGTAGTAGTAGTTAATTTGTGTTAAGATCAAGCAAGAGCGCATTCAAATTGTTTTTGAAGACTATTGCAAGATATGTTATACACCTCCAGTCAAAAGTTTGGACACACTTTCCCAATCAATACAATGGGAAATGTTTGACTGGCATGTGTGTATTATGCATTCTCAACTTTAAAAGAGCACCAGTTTTGTGTAAATATTTCCAAAATGAATTTACACTGAAAGAACAAAAATAAAAGTATATCTCAAATTTAAATTCTGAAAGGGCTTTGTGATTTGTACAGGAGACATCCTGTATCCTTAGATCCTTTGTTCAGCTAAGGAATAACTCCCCCAAAATATATTTTAATATGGACAACAGCATAAAAACCTTAGCAAGAACAATGGTAGAAAGATCCCTCTTCTGTAAAATCACAATTTTTTTCCATGTATGTACTTGTACTAAATTTACTAGAAATTGTGATTAGGCAAGGTCACAATAGGGTTATGAAGAGAAGAGATATATTGGTTCTGTATAAACCTCATAAGGCCTTTTGAAATCTCTTAGTATACTATATACATTTTTATAACATGTGGACACCTAAGCAGAATGCTTAGTCAGTTTTAAATGTAATAGTACTTGCAGTTATCATTCTATTCAGATGAGTTGATAATATGCATTTGTTATGTAAATACAGTAACAATGACTGACTGCTGTGTTCAGGTGGTTTGCTGGAGAGCTGCAGCCAGTAATGCTTGGGCTGTCCTGTTGCTGCTGCCCATCACAGCAGTTTTTGTAATCCTCAGCAGGTTCAGTCTTCTCCACCCCATTCAGACAATATCAGGTCAGCCACCATGAAAGTTTTGAGAACTGACTAAGAGCTGTGTGAAGTTGGTTATGATGGTAGACCTCTTTTTGCCTACAGAATGCACTTCTTTGTTAACCAGTACAAGTGCCATCTTTTCTTTCATCCTTCTGTGTGGAGTGATCCTTATGGTTGGGTTTCTGAACTTAGAGTATTATACAGGTGAGTGGCAGAACACTGTAAATGTAGATTTAATATTTGCTCAACCATTATTATATTTGTAGTTTACAAATGACTGTTTCGAAGGGTATCTTGTCTTGTAATTGATAGGTTGCTTGGATACTTCATATGTATTTTTTTCAGGTTAACAAAATAAAGAGAAATTAGTTCAGCATTAAACAGAAAAGTTAACAGGAAATATCTACAGAAAATACTGAGTTTTTTTATAATGACACTATAACAGAGAAAAGCAAATTAGACTTTTATTGAAATACTAATTGAAAAGTTTGAGAGTTTTTAACAGAGTGTTTGGCATTGATTTAATTTTTCTTTTCTTTGATGTTCAACTAATTGCATCATTACTACTTTAGTACAATCTTAACCGCATGAATTAATATGGTACATGTTGAATATGGCTTTAAATTCCATTCCTTGCCAGTTTGTAGTCTAACTCATAGCTACATTCATCTGAATAGTGTTTGGCACAGTTTCTTTTATAACATAGTTGATGTTTTCCCTCATGTAAAATTGATGCACCTTGGTTATTTTTCTGTTTCTCTTTAGTCATTCCAACTGTTGCGTGCTCAAAAATCGCCCTGTTGGGTCAGCTGCTCCACCCTCGTCAGTTTGTCAACTCCTTAGTCCACTGTATCATGGGAATAATCATGGCTTGGTGTTGTGCTGTCACCATCGGGGGCAGATATGAGACGCTCAGCTACCACTGCACACAGAGTGATGGGTGAGAAATGGCCAAATAAAACTATCATGCTGAGCTTTCCTGCTACAGATGTAGTCTAACTTCCTCAGTTTGTTTCAACACTAACAGTTCCCCTCAGATGTGTCTGAATGAGTATCACCTCATCCTGCTGCTGGCCGGAGCCTTTGTTGGGCTGTCTCACAGCCTGCTAGGCGTGATCTACAACATGAACTATGTCTCTTTCCACACTGTTAAGGTTTGTAGTGTAAGCTTATTCATTAATCTGATGAAGATACAAAGACAGATCACTTTTTTACATTTCCTGGCTGGATGGTTCTCAAATGCAAGGACAGTGGCAGAGTCAGTATACCTCTGTCTAAATCTACTTTCGATCAGTCTAGATGAATCTGTTGCTTGAGCCAGGATATCTCACTGCATAGAATATGCACAGATAACACCATTTAAGTTCTTGAGCTTAAACATTCCAGACTTTAGATAAAAGTTGCATCATTGTACTTTGAGTTCCATTTAATAATTGTTGATTTTCACCTGTTGCTATTCCTTCAGCAATACAAATACCTTTGCTTTAAGGGATCCCTGCTGTTGGTGGTGAAGTGCAGTGCCACTCAAGCACTTTACTCTGTCAGGAACTACATTGTTGTGTATTTCTTTTTAGGTAAGTGACCTTTGCTTATAAAACAAACTCTAGTAACACAGAGCTCCTCCACCTGAGAACAAACTGCTTGATGAGTTTAAACCTTCAGCCATCTTATTTAAAGTGGTCTAGTAATAGTCAGTTTGATTTATTATTAATTATTGTACTTGAGCTCTGTTTTTGTCTAATTTTAGCCCTTTTTCTGCACAGACTTACTAGAGCTGATAGATAAATAAAATATCTAAATTTTAATATTAACAGGATACATTCCAAGAACATGGATGTGTAAAACTCTGAATCTTCATTTGAGCAGGTTGGTATCTTAATTATTTCTTAATTATACACTCACTGGCCACTTTATTAGGTACACGTGTACAGTTGTATGTAGATCAATGCAACACTTTTGTCTTAACTGTTTTTATGAAGCTCAAAATATTCAAAAATGAACTGACAGATGTTAAGGTCGAAGTGTTGTGTTTGATTGTATACAATTGTAAAGGTGTACCTGGTAAAGTGGTTGGTGAGTGTATATGATTAAACAAAAACCCTGATGTTCTGACCATAACCAGCGTAAAGTCCTGCCTGAATGTGTTTGTGTGTGGTCTCCATCTCCAGTTCTGTCCACCCTCTTGACAGTATAACTGGGCTATTGGACCTGTCCTTGCTCTACCACCTGTGGATCAGTGCTGCCTTCCTGCTTTTCACATGGTACATCACACTGCTGCTCTTTAGGATTTTTGTCACTGAGGTATGTGTTTAAAAGAAAATCATATTGTGCTAAAATACAGAGGTGAAATCAACATCAAGCCTGTGATTTTTCTTTGGACAGTTTTGTAAAATGAATACTCAGTTTCATTTATTTTGTAATAATTTCTCATTTGATCAGTTACTTGAGCAGATCTGGGTAGACTTGTGCACTGCATGTCCCACATACCCTCTGACTAGTTGGACCACCAAAACATAGCACACTCTGTGTAGTTGTACTATAATGATCAGTTTTGTTGTCCAGTTCATGAATGTAAATGTAAATGTTTAGTGTTGTGTTGCAAAGCAAAGAGAACCTGCTTTGTTCTTTTGAGTATTTAGAAATATACACTAGGGGGCAGTGTTGTTACACGATACACCATGCATTCCTGGCTTCTGAATGTCCATGGTAATTCTCTCAGAATGAAGTGATCACTGTTTGGCAATCCTCATGTTATGGTAATATGTTATCTAACATATTGTTTATCTGCAGGTCTACAGTTTTCCTGTGCAGTCCTCTTTTCCTGAGGATGCCCACCACTGTCTTCCCAAAGTTCTTGCAGACAAGCAGCCAATGATATTAAAGGTAGGTAAAATGCACACATAGATAATTCTTTCGATTATACTTTTTTGAGGGGTGGGTGGTGTCTACTGATGATGAAATTTGGGTGTTTTGACTAGTTTTTCCCCATTTTTCCATGAAATTTGTGTTTTGACTAGTTTTTCCCCATTTTTTAGTTTCTAGCTCTACAGGACTTGGCTCTGCTGTCTCAACACTCCCCATCTCGTCGCTGTGAGGTCTTCAGTCTGAGTCAGCCAGGTCTGTTATGTTGTCTGCACAGAAAATAGGTTGCTGTTTCTAACTTTTCATGTGTAAAATCAAATGGGTCTTGACAGACTTCAAATACTCAAATTGTATTCTTAAGTAGCAAACAACAAAAGCAAAATGTATTTAGTGTATCTCTTCATTCTTCTGTTTCCCAGGGGGGCATCCTCACAACTGGAATGCCATCAGTAAGGAGTGTTTGTCTCTGCTGACTGATCTGACCCAGAGACTTGTGGCCCATCATGACACTGTGGCAACCAATGGCAGGGCCAAATCACTGTCTTTTGGAAGTGAAAGGAAGACTTCATCTGAGACATCAGGTATGTTGCTACATAAATAAATGTATTATAATTAGATATTTCATTTTATGTAGTTGTGAATGTGGTGCCATTTTACATATACTAGCTTTTGTTTTGAATAGTCATTAGAGGGCTAATGTCTAAGAAAGGTCATACTCCACCTGGTGCCATAAGGAATGTTTGTAAATGTGAAGATGTTAAAAATAAATGTAATAGTTTTTGAAATCAACCCATTATCCTTTCTGCCCTTTTTACTTTAAGTTACCTCAGGTGCAGAAGATCTAATGAGCCCGAGACCCACTTTGCTGATGAAAACTCCCACTTCAGTGTTTACCCGCTCCATTGCTGAAGGCTCACAGAGCATGCTGACTTCACCATTCACTCCTGACCTGGACAGCCCCTTTGCTTCTCCAGGCCTGCGGCATCTCATTGCTCCCATAGACCAAGGCTCGCCATGGTACGGCACAGTGCAGAGCCCACACGTCATGAGGAGAGCACCAAAACTCTGGTCCACATCTACAGGTGAGGCTCACGGAAGGTGATGGGTCACTCCGATCCAACAGACAATGGACAGAGTTGTCAGAATTCTAATAGCAGCTGCTACTAGTGCATTCTGGGTGCCTTAAGACTTGACATGTTCCTGCTAGATCACTGAAAATGGTTAAGTACTTTGCATATAAGGCAATAGTTAACATGTCCCTATTATAGGGATCTGTGATAAATATCTAAGAATTTTGATTTTTGGCTGGTTCCCCTCTGTGATTGTAGCCTCTCGGTGTAGATTCACAGATCAATGGCAGCCCCCTGCCATCCTCTGCCTCTGTTCCCAGTCCTAAGAAGGAACCCTCCAAACCAAGTCTCCTGGCTCAGTTCCTCCAGAACAGAAAAGAACAGGTACTTTAGCCTTGTTGCAATGTATTTGTTAGTGGTCTAGCATTGTGCTTCTGACTTAGGGCTTTTCACAATTAACACGTATTAACACTAGGATAGTGTAATAGTCAAACACAGTAGCCAGACTTCACCTGACTGTTGTAACCTTCCAGAACTTACAGTCAAGTGTGAAGATAAACAGAGTTCAATTTGTTTTTTGTTTTTTTTTCTTTTCTCTCTCATTCACATCTAAATCACACCAGTCACCTCTGTCCTGGCAGCAGAAGGGCAGTGTGCTGGAGAGATGAGACAGGATTACTGCAACTGATTGACTAGGCCATTGTGTAATCTGGTGCCCAATGTACCAGTCATAACTTCTGCTTATTAAAGTTAAGGTTGCATCATCTCCCTCTGTTGAGTGTATTTCTACCTCAAATGTGGAGATATTCCAGTTTGAAAGTGTTTTTGTGATGATCTTAGTGCAGGGTTAAGTGTGAAAAGCCATTTTTTGTGCTCATTATCATGCCTCATTTTGATACCAAAACAACTCAACACTTAATTGTCCCATTCAGGTTAAAAATTTCTTGGCAAAGAGGGTGCTGATAATGTATTTGTTTAATAAGGTAAGGATGTCTAGCATGTGCATGCTATATCTCCCTTAGGCTTCTTAACACCGAGGAGCTTTCTGCATGCTCTCACCTGACACAACAGATTTTCCTTTGGTTTGTAGCCAATCGAACAATCTTACCCTGCAGCCATCAATAATTTAACTCTTGGTTTTAGGCCTAATTGTGTCAGCATTACTAATGTAGCTCTTTTCCATTCCTCTAGCTGTTACAGTGAGCCTTATTAATTTGCTTAAAAGCTTGAATTCAGGAGTAGTGTTGTTAAAGTTAATAGTGCTATAAAACCAGTGTTATTTGTACTAATCAAACGCTGAGCCCTTGTTTTTGTGATCATGTGAGTGAGGCACTGACATGTTTATCAGAGCCAAATATCGTACTTAGATTGCACCATTTCCTTTAGCTGGAAACTGTCTTGATGAGTCTGCTTTGCTTTCTGAGGGTTATCTTCCTTTAGTCACGCATGCATGTTGTAGTGTATTCTCTCTAAAAGATGTCCAACTAACAACTTGCTAACTTTAGTCTGAATCTGCAAATGTCAATTAAAAAGAACTGCTACTAGCTGACACTGTCTTGTAGCTTCCAGAAGCATCCAGTCAGGCTCTCTTTGCTGACAGCCAGGCTCACATCTGGGCTTTAGAAGGTAGGAGACAGTGGACTTTATTTTTCATTTGATATGGATGCTACACATTGATCCAACATGCTCATTATTTTCTCCCATTCAGGGCTGTCTTACCTTGTTCAAGCCTCCTTCTCAGAAGACCAGTTTGGGGTTGTACAGACTACATTACCCAGCATTCTCAGCTGCATGCTGGTCTTACAAGAGGCAAGTTAGTTTAATGTGGGTGTACTGAGTCCACATAGACTTGGCACAATATGGTTGGAAGTTAAATATATCACATTGTTGTGGTGCTAACCAAAATGTCCTAATGTCATTTTGAAAGATGGCATACCTACCTGTGGTAAATTAGAAACTGAACTTTGTACCTTGATGTTACTAAAAAAGTGACACTGACGTACAAGAGA